CTTCTTCTGCAAGTTCTCCACAAGATCATAGAGGAGGAGGAGGAAGTACTCCTTGTAGCACCCCATTGGCCCCGGAGGTCGTGGTTCGCTGACTTAGTCAGACTGTCAGTGTCCCCGCCGTGGCAGATCTCCCCGGATCAGGTCTCCCTCAGCCAAGGGGCCATTGTCCATCCGGAGCCCCAATGGCTCCAGTTGGCCGTCTGGCACTTGAGGGGGACCTACTGAAGGCTGAGGGATTGTCAGACGGGGTTGTGCGTACCATCCAAGCTGCTCGGCGTCCCTCCGGCCACGCTCCATCGCCAGGTGGCGGCTTTGTCAACTGTTTGGTCTGGAGATCCCTTCCTACCACTCAGCAGGGTTCCCAGGGTGCGCTGCTTCCTCAAGGGCGCCTCTAACATCCGGCCTCCCACGGTCCACTGCTACCCTACCTGGCAGCTGTCCATAGTCCTGCAGGCGCTCACGGCACCACCCTTCGAGCCTCTCCAAATGACTTATCTTAGACATCTTTCTCTGAAGACAGCTTTTCTTATAGCTATTACGTCTGTCCGTTAGATATCAGAGTTGGCAGCCCTGTGGGTTCGTCAGGACTTGTGTGTCGTTCATACCGACAGGGTCGTTTTGTGGCTTGACCTGACCTTCATTACGAAGGTCAACTCCTGGTATCATAGGGCGCAGGAAATTATTCTGCTGAACTTTTGTCCTCGTCCCTCCCATCCGAGTGAGCACAAGTGGCACAAACTAGACGTGTGTCGGGCCTTGAAGATATACATCCATCGCACTTCGGACTTCTGAAATTCCGAGGCCCTCTTCATATCTTTCCAGCCTGGGTCCTTGGGCAAGAAAGTTTCATCTTTTATCGTTGGCAGATGGCTCAGAGCTTGCATCGCGTCTGCATATTAGCTCCAGTCGAGGACGGTGCCTCGCCACATAACTGCCCATTCAACACGCAGTGCAGCTACCTCGGTGGCTTGGGCCACTCAAGCCCCAATTGAGGAAATCTGCAGGGCTGCCGCTTGGTCTTCGCTGTCTCCGTTCATAAAACATTACAGACTGGACACCTTTGCCTCTGCTGAGGAGGCCTTTGGCAGGCGGGTGCTACAGGCAGTGACCTCTTCGGTCGAATCCCGGGACTCTTCTTCTGCCCGCCCAGATGGACATTAACCTGGGTATGTTCCACTGCTTGGACTCTCCAAGCGGTGCACAGGAGAAAGACCATTGGGCTTACCTGAAGGGTCCTTCTCTGTGCACCGCAGGAGAGCCTAACCCACCCTGGTCCGTCCAGGGATTCAAAGCCGCCGTGTCAGCAGTATGGAAATCCTTGGTCGCTTTTTTGCTGCATCCTCATGGCCAAACCATCTCAAATTTCTGGAGAGAGATCATGCCAGGAGGCGTGATCAGGGAAAAGTTTCCTCAGTTTCCAGGGCAACCAGACTGAAATAACCCACTGCTTGGCCTCTCCCGCGGTGTACAGAGAAGGAGCCTTCAGGTAAGCCCAATGGTCTTTCTCTTTGGGGTCTCTTTTGCTCCTAGACACCTGCATCTGCCTGGTTCTCCTTGAGATATTATCCTCCTGGCTAATATCATGAAGAATGTTCTTATGTAACACTTGTATTTTCCCTGATCACTCTTAAAGAAAAAGATTGTCCTCTGGTCTTTCATCTCTATAGAGCCGAGGTGGTGCAGTGGTTAGGGTGCAGTACTGCAGGCCACTTCAGCTGAC